TGAGATGTACTGTAATGTCCTAGAACTTACTATAATATACTATACTGCGATGCCAAGACCGCAGTCTCTTTCCCTGGTACCACCTCAGTTTTGCTTTGCACGTTGCTCTACGATGGCAGTCTTGCTGCTCCAATTTGCCTGGAACCTAGGACTACTAGCATCACGCTTGCCGCCATGCCTACGATGTTTAAAAAATCTTTACAACCACGGTGCTACTCATATTGACATCAGACTGCTGCCAACTCGGCGAAATGACTATGGTGCCTGTTGGAAGCCTCTTTGCCACACGAATTTGAGCAACACAACCACCGAATATTGCTATGCGCCTATGCAACGACTGTCACGACTCCGAGCAAAACGTTGCTGCCTACTTGCTTTACAAGTCTTGCTGCTATTCCGGCAATTGAAACATTGCCCCTGCGGCCAAAAAAACTCTTCTAACAACATGACTGTCTTAATTTACCTATTGCTGCGAGCGTAGCAACTTGCATTATGAATTCTGTCTCGGTAGATGCCTCTGGGGTACAATCCGCTAGACTTCTGCTATCAGGACATGGGGTCTTTGATTAACAATGAGAGTGCCAACATTCAGCACCAGTGACAACAGGGCCAGGTTCCGGGCCCTATAGTTGCTTCTGCCGCTTTCGCCGCCTGCGGACACCAAACAGGTCATGCCGGCAGTGTGAACACGAGCAAGCGCTGCAGAAGAAAGGACGGCAGAAACATAACCGGGCAAAAAGACACGAGGCAAGGCAGCTGAAGCTGCGCCTCGCGCAGCATGGCATTGAAGTCGCTCGAAGACTGTGTGCCTCGGTGGCAGATAGCTGCGACCACTCTTCAATACTCTTGTAATCTTCCAAATTGGCTGCTCGATTGCGACTTCTTCAAATCACTGCTGTGAAGTCACTTTTGCTTGTGAGACCTTCTGAGCTTCCAGCTGGCTTTGGCGGGCGGGGCCGGGGACGGAGGTAGGCCAGGCCTTGTTGAAGACAGCACTCCCAATTGAGCATCGACTCAGATGATCTCAGATGGGCCTGCGTCCGTGCACGACTTGTGAACGCAAAATCTTGCGATAATCAGGTGCATCCATCGAACGTTGTTGTTTCGGTGCTCGTGGGCGTCAGAGGAAGGAGGAATGCAGTGACACCTCATAGTACTTTATGGTACATTATAATGCATTATATGTTGTTGTACGTATACTATAGTAGGTTTTTTGTATATTGTAGTATATTACAATCCTCACTCGTCTTGGGTCCCGGCGGAGGCGAGGTGGAGGTCGGGCTTGCGAAGGTCGCAGGTGGGGGAGGCCCTGGCACTGAATCATCTTTGGGGAAAAGCACTTGGGTCCTGAAGTCATTCAAGTTCTGTTAGGTCAGATCGATGTTCCCTACTATCACTGCCGCTGCTGCTGCTACTACTGCTACTGCTACTACTCCTCCTCCTCCTCCTCCTCCTCCTCCCGACGGCTGCGACTACGACTGCTATAATTCTGACTAAAACTACGACTGCCACCACAACTACAACTACGTCATCTACTACTGCTACAAGGACTGGTGCTGCTACTCCTCCCACTGCGACTACCACTGCCACCACCACTACCACGACCACGACCACGACCACGACCACGACCAGGACCACTACCACTACCACTGCAACCACGACTGCTGCTGCTGCTGCTGCTGCTGCGGCTGCCGCTGCTGCGGCTGCGGCTACTACTGTACTACTACGACTTCCACGACGACCACGACACTCATGACGACGACAACAACCACCACAACGATCACCGGGACGACCATGACCACAACCATTCCCACTACGACTTAGACTGTAGACTGCTACTGCTAGTGCGACTGCGAATACGACGACCACGACTTCTGCTGCTGCCAACTAGTACTGCTGCTACTACAGCCGCTGCAGCCCTAATGTTGGTGAAATCCCGTGTCCGAAGGATAAAGCTACGAGACAGCAGAAAGAGGGCTCTGTCCCGTAAACATGTACAATATCAAACGCCTTGGAGACGCAAAGTGTCTCTGGACAAGACGAAACAGTCAGCCACTAACATCGGCTACATACTCCCTTCATGGCGGTATTATGTGAAATGATCTCTGCATCCGGGGTTTTGACTACAGGATTGGAGTTGTGGAAGAGGTGTTGATGCCGGAGCCTCGAAAGAATTCAGAGCTCAAATCCAAAGCAAGTTTTCAAGGCTCATGGTAGTCGGCTTCAACCTTGTCATGACGAGGTGCTACGTTCCCCAGCTTCGGTCTCTTCAATTCCCTCTGGTGACGGGTGCCTTGTCCAGGAGCCACGTTGCNNTCCCCCCCCCCCCCCCCGCATCAGAAAACACTTGGCTAAGCGAAAACTGGCAGAGCCTCTTACAGCCTGCTGACATGCGATTAGCTCGAGCATCAATCCATCAGCCCACGCGCACCACAACCGCCAAGTGCTGAGCCAGGCCCCATTCGCCTCAGAATGGCGATCTATCCTGGTCCTATGCCTAGCACTGCCACTCAAGGGTCAAACAAAGTCACCAGAAAGTGCAAAACTAACACGGATGTCTGAGAGGCAAACTCACCAGGACCTGGCCGGGCACCAGGAATCAGGAGTGGCACGGTGACCCGAACCCAACCTCTCGGTGCTCAGTTGCAGCCCGCGCCTCCTGGAAACCCGCCCGGCGGTGGACCTGCAGGGAAGCTGAAATCCTGAAACCCAAACAGCTGGATTTCACTGGGACGGAGAGTTTGAAATTTGGATGCCGTGACGATGTTTGTTCCACATGACACGATGTTCAGGCAAAAAATCCTGCGCATCAGATGCAGTGTCAGTGTCAGCTCGCACAATCACAAACCAACTCAAAACCAAAACCTAGTTCAACCAATCTACCATCATAGCCCGAACGGGAGCCTCCTCCCAGCCGTGGTCCGTAGCCCCCTCCTGGAGGCGGAGGCGGCGCCGGAGGCGAGTAGGGCCCCGAGCAGCCTTCGAGATTCCCCGGCCAAGCAAGTTGGACCCAGGACAAAAACCTACGTGAGCCGCACTGATGGACTGATGGTGCCACTTCCGCGAAGGGTAAAATGCGCCGAGCCCTGGACCCCAAGTAAGGATCCTCTGGATGGATGCTCAGATCTTTCCAATGGGCCGAAGACAGAGATGAGAGATTTGGGGCGGCTGCCGGCCGAAGACAGAGATGAGACTTCGGGCGGGGCACGGCGGGGCATAGGGTATCAAGATCTTTCATGGCATCTTTTGACGTTTTTCTACACAACTTCGTCGATTCCTCGTTCAGTTTCGGCCACAACTTGCGATCGGCTCGGCGACCTTGTTTGCAGTTTGGGCTGACCACCCCGCACAACAAATGTGTTTGAAGGTCGCCGTTTTCGACGACATATGTACATCAGAGACCATGTCTACTTTTCCAGCCACTGTTTAAGGTTTTGCCAGGTGCGACTCCTTCTGCCGTCCAGGTTTTGGCGGCAATGGTTCTGCGGGCTTTTAGGCAGAGGCTTTGCCGGACGAGTTGAAGATACATGGGTTCTGCTGCAAGTGCATGCTGTTGTTTGGAGAAGTATCAAATGCAGGGGGCTGCAGCCCTGAAACGGGCTCGTAAAGCGGAGCCTCCGCATCCGCAAGGGCCCATGGGAGGCCCCATGGGAGGCCCCATCGGAGGCCCCATGGGAGGCCCCATGGGAGGCGGCCTTACAAGAAAAGACAGCAGGGACAAATGCTTACACTCGTCACTGGCCCACCAAGAAGACGTCTCGTAGGATCCTGGCGGCACCATCCCTCTCATTGGTCCCGGTGGAGGCGGCATTTGGTTCTGGAGAAAGGGCCTCTGGGCACATCTCACGAGTGTCAACTGCAAGTTGCAGTCCGTCTTGAGCTTCAGACGACATTGGACTCGGTGCGGCGTGTGCGGCGCCAAGGATCCCGACCCCTGGGGCCTTCACTGCGTCCACATCTGCGTCACACCAAAGAAAAGAACTGACAGGTTGGCATTGCCTTAGGCCGCGAAGGGTAGGAGTTCCCCATGGGCGATTGCATGCCTCAAATTGTCACACGATGCTTCTGCGGCAGCATGTGGAACAGGAGCGGAATGCCGTCGGAAATGGAAGACAATGAGATGTCATTTTGGCATGGGCTCTGCGGTTGACCAAGGCCACGACCAACGCCGGCATAGCCTCCCCAACAAACGCAATGTGAACAGGAACCGATTCTTGCTCTCGCATTTTCCTGGTGCTTACATTGAAGCTTTCGGTGTTCTGCATTGCGGGGAGCTGACCCGGCGTTGCCATGCAGCCACCTGCAGACAAGACAGATGCAAGAGATCTCCCGGGGCCACACCGCTCTGCCAGGCTCTGCCTGGTCCTCTGTATTGAAGTTTCAGCTCCTCGATTCTTTCCTGAACCATATAGCAGCTAGGAAGCAACGCTCACTTAGACGATGGCTCCCGATCTCAACTGGCCGGTAGGACCAGGATGAGCTGTTTCGCCAGCAGGTGGTTGTCACCAACGACCTAAAGCTTCCCAGACAGTTTCGAGGGAGAGATTAGCCTCTTGCTGAAAACCGAGCCGAAAGCCCTGACCAGCTGATCCGCTTCGGTCTGCGAGGGCGGTAGGATGGAGATAAACCTTTCAGCAAGACCCTCGCATGGGAAGCCCGACGCGAAGTATTCAGTTCAAGGTGCGTGAGTGGTCGAGCATGTGCTTCTTTTGGAGCTTTCCTTAAGAAAGTCCCATCTTAACCGCAGCATTGGCGACCCGTGAGCCTTACACCTCAGCACAGGTGGCATGAAGCAGCTCTGTCTCCGATACAGTAGCGATTCCGTGGCTCGTGAGCTGTACCGCAGGGCTTCGGCCCAACACAACTCAGCTCTGGCATGAGCCTGTCTATGCCTTCAGATGCCTCGTCTAGAGTCTAGCAAGGGGAGCACACGCGTGCCTTGGGCTCGGCCGCCCGAGCTCCTTTGAAAAATTTCAAGAGACCCAGCCTCTAAGTCGCCTCTAAGTTTTGATCTCGTCCTTGTCTCCTGTTTCCGTCTCACAGAGGCTGAAGCCGAAGAGCGTGCAGCAGGCCGCCGTGGTCTTCTTGACCTCCAGAGCCGCGCCTGCGGCGTTCCTCGCACGATCCTCGAGGCCCTCGAGACCGCCACCGCCGCTTTCGAAGCGCAGGTCCGGGAAGGGAATCTCAAGGTCAGGGTGGCTCGCTGCTTCTTCCAATCCTTCCGCAGTTCGCTTCGAGCCGGCCTTGGTGTAAATCGCGTGGCAGTTCGCGCAAAACCACGAGGCAGTCTGACTGTCGTACCGGAAGTTCTCGAAATAGCTCGCTGCGCGCAACTGGTTCAGGAGCTTGTCCTGCTCCTGTGACGTCAGAAAAGGCTCCGAGATAAATGTCATGAAGTCCTCGCCCTCGTCCTTGTTATAGAGACTGAAAAGGCCCTTCACCTGATCCACAACTCCGGGCACATCGGCAATAGCATCCTTAGGACGTTTGTGTCCTGAAGACGTCTGGCTACAAACCAGCTAGCCAGCAACCGGGCGTCCATCCTACTGCGTTGCATACAAAAATAGGTATACCATGGCAAGCCAAGGCGTCAGCCGACAAAATCGACTTTCCAAGCTTCGCTGCAGACAGTCCCATCTTCAGCCAGCGCGACCACTCCATGGTTTCTGTCGTGAATGTGCTGCCCGGCAGCACACAGAAACGGGTGGCGGTAGGGGCTTCGCACTTGAAGTGCAGCAGCATGGCTTTCTTCACCACGTACCTCCAAAGTCTCAAATCTCGGCCCCTGGGCATGATGCCTATCCGAGGACCTCGAAGATAAGAAATCCGTGTGCCCGGGTGAAGGAGTTGGAGCTGCAACCACTTGTGCTACGATCCCGCTGGAAACCACAAAATCAGCCCACACAGGATCACACAGGGGAGCTTGAACCTCACATAACCTCACAATTTCAGACAGAAGCAGCGTGAGACCGGATGCCTCGGCTCAGACGAAAATCTCACTGGCATCGGCAGCTTCTTGGCCACAGTGCTGATGAAATCCTGCGAAGCTTCAAAGCCAGAGATTGGTCCGAAACACTTGACCCAGAATCGAAGTCTGGAAGTTCGAAAATCGAAACACAAGGGCTCACAAACTGAGGAACCAAGGTCCCGCAACAAACAGCCAAAGCCCAGCACTAGCACCACTCGGTCCTTCATCTCTGACATATTGTCGTCGACATATTTCTTGAGGCTTTCCATATCTCCGCAAGCCTGGTCAATCAAAGTTCACCTAGGAACACAAAAGAGGTTTGGGAACAATGTTGAACAGGATCGAACACATGAGAACTTTGACCTCCTGTTTTCTGCAGGAGACGAGCAGCCAAGCAGCGGCGGCAGGCAGGTAGGAGTGGTAGGAGTGGTAGGAGTAGTAGTAGTAGTAGTAGTAGTAGTAGTAGTACGGTGGGAGGTCGGAGGTGGGAGATGGTGGTAGTAGTGGTGAGGGCATCGCCGCAGCCGTGGTCAATCAATATTACAACACACGCGCACACACACACACACACACCCTGTTTTGTAGTGGTCATATCCCGCACCTGTTACAACCTGTTTGTATGACAAACAACGAAGCGTGTTTTCTCTTCTTGTTCCGAACAGCCTCCTTGAATCTGGAGTTCATGTCCGCAATCTGCTCGTAAGCCCCCTCCAGGGACCGGCCCTCATAGGCATCGATCAGACCTTTCGGGGACAGATGGATGGCTTTAGGAGATGGCACAATAGGCACAATGAAGTTCAGGTGCTTTTTCTGTGCCCTCACGCGAAACCTTTAAGGAAGAGATCGGAGTTTTGGGCCTTGACTGCAGATCCTTCGTAGGATCGGTGTGGGCTGACAGAGAGTTTGTTGGCTCTGGAACACCGAAGCACTTAAGGTTCATGCGACGAACTATCGACCTTTGCTGCGATGGCGAGCCTGCAAATTCCCACAGACTCCAAGGCCAGAGCTTTGAAGCACAACCCAGTCGTCGCATAAGTAGATAGCTGTCCCCTGACGCTACACCTGTTTGCCTCCGAACTAACCTGTGCAATCATAAAGGAAACGATTAATGATTAATACCAGGCACGGTTCCACGAACCTCAACACTCAAGCCCGCATCCTTAACCTCCAAATCTGCATCCTACACCGGCACTGCGCAGCCAAGGAGCTTGTTGCCATCTCCCGCGCTGAGCCATCTCCTTCTTTCAGCTCCTCGGTTACACAGAACGACCAGGGCTCAGGGCCCAGGCGGTTTAGGGCGTCGTGGATTGATGGCGAATCCTTCTTTATCCTTTGAAACCTCGGGTCTGGACCGGAACACCATCGTTCCGCCAAAGAACTTACACGCCGAAGCTTACAGCAGTGTGGATCAACTTGCTACTTCCTACCAAGCGACGAAAGGAATTGTGCAGGATGGCAAGTCATTTCAACGTCTACACTGGCTGGCCACCCGATCTTTTCGAAATGTCCGGCTTCGATCTGGCAATGCACTCTGGCGTCTTGTTGGTGGCTCTACAGACGGATTTTACTGCAAGGGGTATACTCTCAAGTGAAAGGAAGTACAAGCGAACAAGCGAGGCTTTGGACCAAGCCAACAGCAGTCCAGAAAGCTTGCACTCAAGCCAAGTCTCTTGCACCCAACGGAGCACGTTGCTCGGCAACCGGGCCTTGTCCTTCAGACTTTGCACATTTAGCCTCGCATGTAGGAGAATGCAGGGACCCTGGCTGCATCACGGATCGAGGTCCGATCACACTGCAGGAGGGCAGATTGCTTCGGTCCTTGATCACCAAGGCTTTCAAGCTGACCAGCGCGGAGCATTTCAAGGCACTGTCCATGGACGTCCCCTTTCCAAGCTCAGCCGTGTCCTTCGGAATGCTACGCCGCTAAGCATGCAGAATGGATGCACTATGACGCGTTTTTGGCATGGCAAATCTCTCGTGCGAGAGTCCTTCACCTTCCCAGCTAAGGCCTTCAGCTCAGCGCCTTCCAGCACTCGAGGCATGCTCTCGAGTGCGCTGGCCATCTGGTAGAGGTTTGCTTCGTACATGGGCCCGCCCTTGGAGTCCTTCACTGACTTGCTCCACATGTCAACCTTAGCCCAGATCCTTTTCGCCAGAGCGGGTGACTTCTCCGTGCAGGCATCGACGAAGGTCTTGGGGGTTGCAAAGCCCACGGGTCCGGCCATGTAGAGTTGGATCATCTCCTCGGCAACGGGATCCAGGGCAGCAGGACGGTTCTGGACAGCGAAGGAGAGGAAGGCTTGAAATGTCAGGTAAATGCTGTCCATCTCCGTCTTCTTCACCTTCTTAAACGTGGCCATGACAGATTGAAGACTGTCTTTGGCTAGCACAACATCCAGGAACTTGGGGTCGGTGTTGCTCATCATCATTTTCAGCGTGCCTTCCAGCGTTTTGGTGTCACTTGCCGAGCCGAGGCCTTTGAGGTAGGACTTGGCATCTCCAGCTGGGTCGGAGGATGACCCGGCCGCAGGTTTCGGCATGCTAGCGATGAGGTTCTGGCAGGCATCCAAGGATTCGCTGAGCTGCTGCTTGAGATCCTGTTCCTTCGGCTTGGGCTTCAGCTCGCTGAGGGCATCTTTGAGCTCGAGGATGAGGGAGGGAGCAGCAATTGCGGCCGAAGCTTTGGGAAAACCTGTGTTCATCACCAGCATTGCACAGAAGATGTTGGCTGCTTGTAGAAGCCCTTTTAAGTAAGTGAGCTTCTGCGCCAAGTGCTTTGAGATGGTCATGTCTCCTGGCTTGTAGCCTTTGACCAGCTGCTTCACATGCTTTGCCAGCTCCAGGGTCATCTTCAAGACGGCAGCAGCCTCCTCGTCCGAAAGCTCCATGAGCTGTACGAAGCCACATCCCGTGATGAGCTCTAAGGCGTCGTGGAGAACCTCTGTCTTGTCGTGCATGAGGAGCTCCGTCAGAACGGGGTACATCTGCAGATCGCCGGTCCACTTCACCTGCTGGGCCCTCACCAAGAACATGTTCTCCAGATGTTTGCTGCCTGGAGCCGCGAGCGCTTTAAGCAGCTTCTTCAACACCTGTCGGCGCAAGCTAGGCAGACAGATTCCATCACGAGTCGCTGACAATCAATTTTTAAGCCTCGGTCATTCCCGGATGTTCAGACCCATCTTCAACTTTGGCCCAGCGGATCGCCGTGGCTGTGACCTGGAGGACTTCGTCGTCTCCTCAGCTCCCGCTAGACTACGGCTGACCTCGAGACAAGGACGACAGGTCTTGCAAAACGAGTGTTACCAGCAAGTGCCAAGACATGCACCAGTCAGAGTTCGTTTGATCGATCGCAGTGCAGCGATCTTACCAGATTGAAAAGACGAGATGACGTGAGAAGAACTGCACATGCATACAGGGCGTGAATATGCTGGACACAAAGCATACCTTTGCAGATCCATGGGATGAGGTGATCTCGCGGTATGCTTCCTGTTGGCCATGCCTCTCTAACGGGTTACGGCGAAGGCAAGATTGGTGGGTGCTCCCGGTGAATGCAGCCAAGACACGTTTGGCTATGCAGGCATCAAGCCAAGTGGACATCCTGATCTGCTCACAAGCTTCGGCTTAGGTGGCAAGCTACATATCCACACGTTTGCCCAGAACCATCCAGAACCTCAATCTTTGCGACAAGCGGCATCTGCACAGCCTGCTCGGGTTCGAAGTATGGCTCATTGTCGCTTGCGGCATCGGCGATCTCTTCGCCACACTCCTTGATTTTCTTGTCATCCTGGCACGGAAGACCCACGAGCTTCTTGACGTGGCTGAACTTATGCACATACATATACATACACATATATACATGTACATGTAAATGTACATGTACATACACATATACATATACATACACATAGACATATACATATACATATACATATACATATACATATACATATACATATACATATACATATACATGCATACATTACATTAATGCATGCCAGGCAAGGTAGTAAAGGACAGTTCAATACAATAC